GGGGAGTGCAGGGTGTGGGAAGGGGTTCACTGTGCAGGAAGGGGCTCAGGGCAAGGGATTGGGGCATGGGGGAGGAACGGCGTGCAGGAGGGGGCTCAGGGCAGGGGTTTGGGGTGCAGGAGGGGTGTGGCAGGGGGCTCAAGGCAGGGGGATGGGGGCTCACGGCACGGGGTTGGGGTGCGGGCTCCAGCCCCCGCTTACCTCGAGCGGTTCTGGGGTGGCAGTGGCATGCAGCGGGGCTAAGGCAGGCTCCCTGCCTTCCTGGTCCAGTGCCACTCCTGGAAGTGGCCAGCATGTCCAGCAGTGGCTCCTAGGGGTGGGGTGGGGCACGTGGCTCTGCTGTGCGCTGCCCTTGCCTGTGGTACAACCCCCGACGCTCCCATTGGGCGTGGTTCCCCATTCCTAGCCAATGGGAGCTGTGGGGGGCAGTGCCTGTAGGCAAGGGTAGCACACGGAGCCCTCTGCCCCCCGCCACCTCCCCCAGGGGCTGCAGGGACGTGGTGCCGGCCATTTCTGGGAGCAGCGCGGGGCCAGGGCTATGGCTGTCCATTCCCATCTGCATCTTGATTCCTTCCTGCAAACTATCTACTAGATTCTGAAGTGATACAGGAAATATTTTCTCACTGTCAACATTCCCAATTTGTTTTCATTATTCCCAAACATGGCACAATAATATGGCACTAAAAAAAAAAAAGCATCCATTTCTACTTCTGTGTTTTTCTACTTACTTTCTTCTCATCTTTGGTAGATTTATGAATTTGTGTTTTGTAGAAGTTATCACTTAACAACTAGAGGAAGAAAATGCTAGATTGTTTTTATTGCTGTTAGATGCTCAAAGACATCTTGCTATACGCTGTCATTTACATTTCACATTAAATGTGAAATATGTTGGAAATGAGCAAATATTTGTTTTAATTTGACCCATCTGTTAAATGAACTACAAAGAGGGCTGCTAAATCAACATATTTAAATTCAGCAACTTGTAAACAATTTATATGTTTGTTTCTTCTTGGTTAAAATTGCCTTCAAGCATAATTCTTATGAAATCCGCATATTAAATTGCCTTGTATTATTCTCATGGAAGCAGGCCATGATTTTTTCCTCTTCAGTTCATTAATTTATTTCCTAACCCAAGTTAATTAGTGAGACTCATATTTTTAAGAGCCATTTGAAATACATTGTAGAAATCGTTTCAGGAAATTCATGAAAGCATTTTCCAACACCGTCAGCAAGCTGGTCGCATACAGAAAATGTTAGATATCAGTGGCAAATTCCTTTAATATTAAGCACCAGCCAATTGCTTTCATTTAGCTTTTAGCATTGGTCCTGACCCATTTCCAACTGGACAGTCAAAGGAAAAATTAAGAAGTGGAGGTAGGGACTCCTGTAGGGACGCATAGCTCCCGAATCGTCAGTCCACGGGTGCGGCACACTGCGCCCGTGGCTACGAGGCCGGAGCGGCCTACACCCCAGCGCCTGCGATTGGGAACCTGATTGGCTGACCTGACCGTCACCCTCGCTGCTCGCTTTCACGTGCACAAGATATGGGTTTGTTAGGTCATGTTGATGTGCACTGTACGCTCCTCCTATGCGCAAAAATTCAACCACTCATAAGTGCTGTAAACATGGAAGTAGGAAAATAAAAACCCCAGTGGAAAGTCCCTGGGAGGCTTTTCGGCTACCAAGACCTGGCGCTCTGTCTCCTTCCTTTTTCGTCGCCACAGACTCCAAACCACATGCCAGCGCTAACCAAGGCTTTAGGCCTCGGCCAAGCACTGAAATTCATTGCTGGAATACGGTCTGTTTCACCTGTGTATCAGCCTGGTTAAGATGGGTATTGAACTTATAACCATGGGTTTAGTGTTTAGACTTTATGAAATGCTTGTAAATTGTTGCATGCATTAATCTCACTTAGAATATCTGTAAAAAAAAAAAAAAAAAAAAAAAAAGTGTTTGCTATGAAACCATGAGCCCTGTCAGCAGGGATTGTCTCCTGTTCATCAAGGCTACCAAAACTAAATGGGCCATTGTGGGACATTAAAACACAAAGACTTTGTTAATCGCCCCTTCGCAACCCTGAAGAGGCGACGTACAAGAGAGCTCATCCCAGCAGTTTGAATTCTGGAAGAAGGAAATAAAAATAGCTGACGAGAAAATGTTTCCACCTTTTGCTGTTGAGACTCTCAGAGGGCCGGAGCTATGAAAGAGAAGCAGAGACCCCCAGGGTCGACCCGGGTTAGCCCTAAGAGACATTCAGTGCTGATAGATTACTACACCTCGGTCATCTTTTGGCACTACAGACTAACTCATTTGTGTATGTAGGTTTGCCTGCTTTAACCTGTAATAAAGTTCTCATTCCTTTTCTTAATCCTTAGGATTAAGGATTGGCTACATGTGTTGTCTCTGGTGTGAGAGCAGAGGTACAATTTGACATGGGGGTGAGTGACTGGTCTCTTGGGACTGGCAGCAACCTGGATAGTGTGTGATCTTTGGTGTATACCAACCAACCATTGCTAAATCCAGCTTGCCTGGATGGCAAGATAGACTGGAGTGTCCAATGGGACTGTCTGTGACTCCATGGTAAAGCTGTTGTGTCCTCCTAAAGCGCCATACTTGTTACTGAGGGTACGTCTACACTTACCGTAGGGTCCGGCGGCAGGCAATCGATGTTCTGGGATCGATTTATCGCGTCTGGTTAAGATGCGATAAATCGATCCCGGAAGTGCCCCGGATCGATCCCGGAAGTGCTCGCCGTCGACGCCGGTACTCCAGCTCGGCGAGCGGAGTACGCGGCATCGACAGGGGAGCCTTCCTGCCGCGTCTGGACCCGCGGTAAGTTCGGACTAAGGTACTTCGAATTCAGCTACGTTATTAACGTAGCTGAATTTGCGTACCTTAGTCCGAAGTGGGGGGGTAGTGTGGACCAGGCCTGAGTTGGTGAAATCTAGAACATACCACCCGTTTGGGGTGTCTGCCCTGAGGTTGGCACTCAGGGGATAAATGGGAAGAAAAGCCACAGTAATTTAGTTTCCCCTATGCACCCACATAGAGCTTATTGCAGGTTTGGGGCCTTAAGATAGACTTAAATGTAAATGTGGACAGTTTGTGAGAGGAGCAAGTTCCACAGGTATCTGAAAGGTCCCACTGTAGCAAAGACCTTAAATAGCAATACCTTCTCTCTCCCTTGCTCTGTGCCGTGTGCATTAGTCATTGCCTTCCATCCCAGAAGGCAGTTCAGATACAGCGCCACTGAAATGTAAGTTTCTTTATCACATTTATACAGTGTCTTTCATTCCAAATGATCCCAAAATAGTTTGCAGTATCATTAGAGAACCACAGTAACCAGAGTGTTTCTTCTCAAAAAATGCACTTTAGACACAAGGACCAGACAAGTGTTTTGAGAAAATAAAGCATGTGGCCTGAAGCTTCATTTCTCACATATGAATCCTGCAGAACACTTCATGCATATATTTGGCCACATCTGTTATCCAATACTTTTAATCTGGTTACTGAGATGTAATTACAGGAGTAAGGTTAGATCTTGTCTACATGGTATCTTTTAATTGGGTCTGCAATTCTGACCCAGACATAATGCAGAAGGGGCCAGAGAGAGACCGGGTCTCCTTTCACTATAGCTAGAATTCCTGGTTATCCATTTCTTTCCCCGCATTCCATAGACCTCTAGAAAAGGCTTGGTGGGCTGCGGATAATAGCGAGAATATGGCTAGCTAGGAGAATATGGGACAGTCAGTTTTAATCTCTGCAAGGTTTTCTAAGTGGAAGAACCCATTTGCGTCAACCCCCTCCCTGAGATATCAGAGAGCCAAAAAGCTGCACTGAAATCCTACTTTGTCTGTGCAGTCATCCACTAGCTTGTCTATTTACCTTAGCCACTATTGTATTAAGCAAGCCAGCAAAACAAGGATTTGCTGTAATTCAAGCACGACATGATTAAGAGCACCTCTAAGACCCTCAACTGGAGGTGGAGGCTACATGGATCACAGCCTGGAAAGATTCCAAGTTGGTGAAATGACAACTTGATTAGTTTTAGTCTGACAAATGTGGCGAGAGAGATCAGAATCAGACATAATTCCAAGGTTATGGGCCTTCAAATAAGACCAGAGGAATAAAAGCAAACAAACAAGGGCAACAGCAACCTGTGAGACCAAATGAACTCTCCAGCCCAGTTTCAATCAATCAACATTCAACTTAAATATAGCAACAATTGACAAAGTTCAGCACAGGACACTTGCTAGGTAGCATTCTGAATAGAAGGACATGCATCAGAATTGGCTGAAATTTAGATCTTGTGAGACAACAAATTTTTGCAACAGGCACATATTCAGGGATTTAAGAAAAAAAAAATGCCAGCAGGAACAGTTTGACACCAAGTCACGATCCCTCTGCCCTGCCTACCAAACTAACACTGCATGCCACAGTGAGGCCAGCTTCATCTGTCCACAGGGAAAGAAACACAGAGTGTAAAAAGGCAACATAAATAACAAAAAGTAAATTGGATTTTACTTAGTGACCTACCTCCCTCCCCATTGCTTTAACATAGTAGAATGTTAATAAGACACGGCCCAGGGAATCAGGTTTATTAAAATAGATTGTTTAAAATGTAAAGGGTCCCTTTAAAAAAAAAAAAAAAAAAAAACCACACACCACACACACACACACCAAGCCTTGGCCTTTGTGTAGAAAGCCAAGGGTTGCAGCTGTGCCATTTGAGAGACGCTATTCATTTTCAGTCCCACATTCTATACCAGGTTGGGGTCCCATCACTTTAATTGTTAAAGTTATTTTCATCAAGAATGAAAAACCACAAAAGTGAGGAAATAGAGTGATTTATTTAGCTGTATGAATAATTTTCTTAAATTCTGGGGCCTCCGTCATTTTGGACCTGCATCCCATACTTCAATACACATTTGGGCCTTGGCAGGGTGAGAGAGATACCTCTAAGTTTCTTCCCGACCCCTACAAATAAAACATGCCCTTACCTAGGAAGAGGATGGTCTGTTTCCTGGAGTTCTTGCCCTCGATGCTTTCATTTTTCCTTAGATACTGCTCCTGGTGACTTTGTACCCCCTGAACCATCACAGTCCCTTTCTTGAGGATCATCAGAGTTTTCATCATGCTGCGGCACATGAAAGCCACCGATATCAGCACCACAATGTACACAATGAAGGCGCTGAAGATGCTGGACTGGAAGACAGTCCACTTGGAAGAAAGATTTGTACATATAGTGACATTGCTCATCAGGTTAGGCCAGCTGTGTCTGGAGGTAGGCGTGTTACAGGCAGTCACCCTTCGGTGACCCTGGACAACTTCTAGGGGGTATTCAGTGCCCATTGCAAAGAGAAGGGGCAGGGCCACCAGGATGGAGATGACCCAGACAAAGGCAATGAGTATCTTGGCCTTATGGGGTCCAGAGGCAGCCTTGAACTTGAAAGGGTGGCAGATGGCAACGTACCTCTCGAAGCTGAGGGTGGCCACGTGCAGTATGGTGGCATAGCTGCAGGCCTCAAAGAGGAAGGAGTACAGCTTGCAGGCCACGTTGCCGTTTGGGGTGGAGAAGGGACTCCAGATAATGCTGAAGAACTCCACAGGCATCCCCAGCAGGATGACCAGCAAGTCGGAACAAGCCAAGCTCACCATATGGTCAGTGACCTCTTTCAGCAGATAGCCTTTCCTCTGCAGCACTTTGGTGGTCTGGATGGTGATAGTGTTGCCCAGGATCCCTGCGACAAAGATAAAGATGTAGATGAAGGCAAGAGTGATCTTGATCCACAGCGCAACCTCGAACTCTGGGACATGACTGTCATCAATCACATGAGAGCAATTTGCCTGGCCACTTTGCTGAGCCATGACCAAGTCCAGGAAAATACAAGGAAAAAGGGTGGGGTGGGGGGGAGACTCTGCTTACCAACTCCCTCCAATGTTCAAAGTAAAGCAGTAAATCAATCCCTCTTCCTCCCTTCACATTCACAAGCTGGTACAAGCAGGCTGCAGTGAAAGGGAGTCTACAAGCCACACCTGACCTGAATCAAAGCTGGTTTGTTAGTTACAGAGACTGTGTCAATAATCCAGCACAGGCGTGGTGGGGAGGAGATAGGGTAGTTCTCAGCATGCATTCCCCTTTTCTTATGATGGACGAAACAAATCTCTTTTCATTGTTCCTTCTCTCTTCTCTGCTGAAATCAGTTCTGTTTTCTCAAACACTCCAGACAATGAACTGCAGAGCTGTACCTCTTCCATTCACTGCTGTTATCTGCTGCCTTGCAGAGCACACCTTGCACCCAGGCTTTTACTACCGCAAACTTGGGGATGACATAAGAGTTTGTGCAGCTGCTCTCGTTTAACATTAACCTGTGGCTGAGGCAGAGACAGGATGTGGTCACTGACCAGCAGTCAGGTGGGTAGGGGAAAAAAGTGCAACAGCCTTTCAAAACAAGCAGCCTCCACTTCCTGAAATCAGATACCTGCTGCTGTAAGAGGCCTTTACCTTGAACCTACTAGCCAGGAGACAAACAAAGGTGGGGTTGGTGTGGGAGGCGCACACTGGAGAGAGAAGATTCATTCACTAGCTTCCCTCTGAGCAGGATTTAGGCTTTAGCTCTACGCTGATTTTAACCTCCTTTGTTGCTCTGTTTTTATATTCCCTTTAATCAGCACATTCGTCGTGGGTGGTTGTGATGCAGCAGAGCAAAATAAAGGGGGCCTAAGCCTCGCTTCAGGTATAATTTGATTGACTTCAATGGGACTGGCTTGATTTACGCTAGCTGAGGAGCCAGTCCAATATTTTGGTTGCAGCCCTATATAAACAAATAGTTTTCTTAATGTAAATAAATAAATTACTGGTGATGAGCTGATGGATTTATAAAATACCTATTTAGAATGTAAAGGGTGTTCTACAAGTTTTAAAGTAAGTCAAACTCTGGGCATAAACAGATTAATAGTATCTCTTTACATTGCCATTTTTTCCCCCTGCTAGATAAAAATAATACAGATAGCAATCCTAATCACGCTCATTCCTTCCAATAATCATGACTGGCAGGGATTAGACTGTATTTCCCTCTTCCCTGCCTCGTCCCAGAGGGACTGAATTTAATACACTCTTTAGTTTTAGTTTCACACCAGGACACTAAAGGCTCCTGAAGTAATCCCTGGGCCCATTGATTTAGGGGGGCTGTATGGGTTAGGAGAACTTCACAGTACAATGCAAGTTGTTTTTCCCAAAATGGCAGAATAACTTTAGCAGCTGTAATCATGTAAGGTCCCGTATGATGAGCTGTTCTAATACTAAATCCAAGAAAAGTGGGTTCAAACAGTAATTTTTATTAACTAGTCAAGTTCAGGTCACATTTTATCTCAAGATAAAATAGGAGCATTAGAAAAATATTATTAAGCAGCCTCCTCATATTCAGTGGTTATCTCTACACCTAGGCAGCCCAAGTACATAACGAACAAAGGATGCCAATAACTGGATAATCAGCACCTGTTTCAATGGATTATTTATGCAGTCCTGTTTCAGAGAAACCACCTCAAATCTTGCAGAACTTCAAGCCCTGTAGCCCCAGTCATCTTTCCTTATGTTTGATAATTCAAATTTGTTCTGCTCAGACAAGCTTTCTATTATTACCCAATTTCTTTCACTTAATTTTACTTTATAAAAGTGTGAACAAAGATTACATATGCATGACTGAATCATGGAAATGAAGCTAATTAAAATTTACTGCTTACCATCAAAGGGAGGAAAGAGAGAGAGGGGGTCCAATAGGATTAGATCTCCCCCTTTTTCCACACCAATTATAAAATGCATATGCAATTTTGCAGTTTTCAATATTATCTTTAGAATATACACAATGTTTATTAACTCCCTTTATTAGAGTTGTAGTACCACAGAGGGAATAGGAGTGGAAAGAGAATATTTCAGTGCCCATAAAGTGAGACCATAAAAAAGATGGTATACAGGAACTGCCATATTAGATCAGAACAATTGTCCATATAGTTCAGGATCCTCTCACGAAGGTCTGAAATACCCAACATGGATAATTATGCAATAATATATCTATAGGGGAAGATTCTTCCTAACCACAGATAGTTAATGGTTGACTGCAGTATGAAGGTTGATAGCTCTCATATATTTTATCCTAGTTAGTGTAGCAATAGATTATATTATTATTATTATTATTATTATGAATGTCTAATCTTTTGGGGATCTTATTAAGCTCTTTGCCTTACAAATATCTTGTGGCAATGAGTTCCACCAGTCAATTTTGTATTGTATTCCAAATTTTCTTTTATTATTTTTCAATTAATTTCCATGGATGGACCCTTGTTCTTGTATAAGAAGAAATAGTTTTTACAGCAGTTGATCTATGTGCTGCTCATTGGGTTTTGCCCAACATTGCCTAACATGCCCAACAGTATTGCCAACTCTTGAAATTTTATTACAACTCTCATGCTTTTGGGGCACGGGAGTTGGGTTTTTTTTTTTTTCACCTGTCTAATGAAAACATGATGAAAGGCTGAAACTCATGAATCTTCCTTTACTCAAAATAGCCACAATCCCCTAATACTATCAATGGGACTGAAGCCAGCAAGAGGGTCACCATTTCCTTACAGTCTCTCTGCAAGGGGAAGTGAGGCTGTCCTTAATAAAGAAATTGGTTGCCACCTCCCCCAATCTGATTATTTTTGAGGGTCTTATTCATGATTTTTGATATCGTGAGGTTGACAATACTGGTCGTCAGTCATCAGTCTTGTGCAGAAGCCCCCATGTGTAAGATAGCATTTCTTTCCACTGTTAGCACACAGCAGTGCTGGAAGGCTGCAGTCAGCACTTTATCAACCAGAGAACAAGGGTAATGTAGGAAGCTCCAAAAAAATGATTATGTGCGTGCAATGTAGATGCATATCTGACATTCTACCTGCAGCCTGCTCTCTCCATAGGCCAGGTAACATTAACTCCTGCAATGTTCAGAGGTGACACGTGGACGGATGGGGATCAAGTGCCCCCCCCCCCCATCGACTTGCCTGCCAGGGGCATGGAGGAAGAGGGGCTCTGTCCTTCTCTCCCTGCACTCCCTCCTTCCCCCTTCGGCCACTCTCTCTGGCAGCTGGGCGGGGAATTGGATGGAGCCACTTCTTCCTGAGAGAGCCTGGCTAGGAGGCAGTGGCAGCCCACTCCCTGCCTGGGCTTGGCTGCTGGGATAGGGGCGCTCCGGCTCACTCCGTCCCTGTCCCAGAAGCAGGGCCCAGGAGGCTGGCATCCTGCTGCTGGCCCAGCTGCTGGGGCCAGGGGCCAAGCAAGCCAAAAACATGGCAGGAACTGGGGCAGCGGCAGGCTGCCCGCCACCTGGGCCCTGCTGCAGGGACAGGGACCGAGTGGGCCAGAGCCCCCCTCCTCCCACTGGCAGCCAAGCCCAGGCAGAGAGTGGGCCACCGCTGTCTCCCAGCCTGGGGGGCAGAAGTGGCTCCATCCCGCTCACTGCCTGGCTGCCAGGGAGAGCGGCTGAATGTGCCAGGTGGTGGGGGAGGTGCAGGGAGAGAAGGACAGAGTACCCCCTGCCCCCGCAGGCAATGTGGGGTAGGGACAGCGTGGTAGCCCCGGGCTGGGAGCAGGAGAGGGGGGTGTCATTGGGCAGGGGAGACACATGGGGTGGTCACATGTCCTTAGGGTGACCAGATAGCAAGTGTAAAAAATCGGGACAGGGGGTGGGGGGTAATAGGTGCCTATATAAGAAAAAGCCCCCAAAATCGGGACTGTCCCTATAAAATCGGGACATCTGGTCACCCTACATGTCCTCCCCTTTAGATTATGCCTCCCCCCACTATGGGGAGACACCAGTCATCTATTGTGGATTTGTTTGATAAGATACTACCAGTAATGTGGGGGGAGGGCATACAAATACATAGATAGGTAATACAGATTATTGTGGCTGGAGTAATGCTTATGTAAATAATTCTTCTATGGTTAGCTTTCTGCTTTAATCCCTGTGTGACTTTAGGGCAAGTCTATACTACATAATTAAGTCGACCTAGGTTACATCAATGTACCACCACCACAGTAATTACATCGCTTTTGCATATCCACACTATGCTCCTTGTATTGGTGGTGTGCATCTTCACCAGGAGCGCTTGCACCAATTTAACTGTCAGTGTGGGGCATTGTGGGACGGCTGCTAAAAGGCAGCAACAGTCAATGTAAACAACGCAATGTTTACGCTGACACTGCATCGACCTAAGTGCTACACCTCTTGCAGAGATGAAATTATCAAGTTGGTGTAGTGGGTGTGATGGGTTTCCCCCGGGGTGCCACCTGGAACTGGGGTACCACTGAGCCTGCCTGACCCACCAGCCTGGGCTCCCTTTACACTGTACTACTGTGAACAGCCTGCCAAGCCCTCTCCTAGGCTCCAGTCTGCACCTTCTCCAGCACACATACAGGTAGGGACACACCCAGCTGCAGCTGTATACAGACACTGAGATCAGCTCTGCATGGAAAGGCTTCAGCTAAGGAACTTCCCAGCCACTTAGGCACTCACCCCCCTCTGGAGTGTAAACCCAAAATTACACCCTCTTGCACTGCACAGGGAACTGTACAGCGTAAGCTCATGAAATTTGCCCCCTCCCTCAATGTGAAGAGGAATATACAACAGCTTTCTGCCCCAAGTTATAACTCCCACACACTGGGTTGTGATAAAGCAAAAACAAATTTATTAGCTACAAAAGATAGATTATTAAGTGATTATAAGAAATCGCAAACAGATGAAAGCAGATTACCTAGCAAATAAACAAAACGCAATCTAAGCTTAATATACTAAAGAGATTGGATATGAGTAGCATCTTCTCATCCTAAATGATGATTTA